TGAGTTGGTTCTGACCCGGGTCCACTTCCTGCTGCCGGTCTGATCCGTTAGCGATGAAGTTATCTGACGGTATATTAATTAATACGCCGCATTAATTAGGTGTTTCTGAGTGATGTCATCCGCTGCCCCAGTCAACATGGCTCCTCTGACTGAGGTCATGTTTGAAGTGGAATCAGAGGTGAGATCGCTTTCTGCTTGCTGATGTTATTCAGCCGGAATGTCTGGTACCGATCCGGGTCTGGAACAGTTTAGCATTACCTAACCGGGCCTGGTTCTGGTCCAGGTTCTGCGCCTGGTTCTGGTCCAGGCAGACGGGTCAAACTGAACGTCGTTTAAAGGAGATGTAATGAGGCTCGGTTCTGATTCTGGTAAATAATCCCATTTTTTCTCGTTTGTTAAATTTCTTCAGTTCTGATTCAGATCCAGAGAATCTCCACAGCAGAAAGGAAACCACAGTTCATGAATTAATACCTGATTGAAAGTTTGTTTCATAATCGTGTCCTTAGTGCTACTGACCTTTGACCTGTCAACTTCAGCTTCATGCATCATAACATTATCAAAATTATTTGGTCCAGTAGAAAAGGTTCAGGGTGAAAAACAAAGCTTCATTTTCTCGTGGAGACATTTTGATCACATCTCAACCTGTCTGTTAGTTTGAGGGTTGGGCTTTGACTAGGCCATTCAAAAGCTTGTTTCTTTTCCTTCTGTGTTGTAGATCTGCTGCTATGTTTTGGGTCTTTGACTTTTGACCTGCCTGACTGTCAGACGCGCTCTGGGTTTCCTGCCGTGGTTTTGGGCTGGATCTGTTTTCCTTCTGGGAAAAATCCTTTTTTTCCTTTATTATTTACAATGTTTTGAATTTTTTCTTGAAAATCTTTTGAATAGTTTTTCTTTCTCTGGAGGAGGATGACCTTTGAACCCTTCTCAAGTTGACAGGGTGGCGGTTTCTGTTGTTGCTGACGTGTTTCTGCCTCCTGATGTCAGTTTGAAACATTAAACTGTAAATATGTCTAAAAGTAACAAAAGTCCAAATAAAAACACGACTGAAGGATCTTAAACTGTTTGAAATTAGATGTAAAGACTTTTTCTGCAGGAGTAAATCAGAGATGTATCAGCAAATATTGATCATTGATTAGTTTTGACAGGTGAACATGTTAATAGTGGGTCGGAGTGATGGCAGGGTGAGGGTGCGCCGTTGTCTCATTAATGCAGTTTGCTGCCTGTTAGCGCCTGTGTGCTAATGAGCGCTAGGCAGGGATTAGCGTGCGTCTCTAAGGGAACGGGGGTCAGTTCCCAGGAGGGGGGAGAGACGGGCCTGTTCCACCCTGACCCGCCTCCTGGGTCCTCTCTGCCTGTCTGGAACCATTTCCTCCCTCTGTGACCCGGACCGACCCAACGGGTCACAGCAGGTAGAAGAGTCAGAGGTTCTGGAGAACACTGAACCAGAAAATAACCAGAGTGGGTCCCACCGGGTCCCATCGGGTCCCACCATGTCCCATCGGGTCCCACCATGTCCCACCGGGTCCCACCCGCCTCTTAGCGGCGCCTGGCGCAGCGCTGCATGTCAACTCGGTTCTCTGAGGTCAAACAGTGTTTTGTTCAGGAGCTGGTCTGATCAGGAAACCATCTTTGTTTAGGAAGCTGCATCACCTGCTGGCTGCGGGTTCTGCTGGTGATACTGGGATTAGTGATGGAGGCCAGATGAGGAAAGCTGGTGCACCATATTGTGTTGAAATGTTGTGTTGCATTTCAACACTATGCTATGGTAAAAAAAACATAGCAGTGGGGAAACAAATGCAAAAAAAAAAATAAAGACAAAAGTTTAAATTTTTGGATTAGCATCGTGTTAAAATGCGACAGCGCCCCCTACAGTCACAATGTAGGGTGCAATAGAATATGGGGCAACGCCTGTGTGTATCGGACTTTCAGCATCTCTCCCAGTAAACTAGCTTATTGTTTGTTCTCTAAGATAACTGTGTTCACATCAAGCATTTTCCTACATTTTGGGTAAATTCCCAGAATTTCACATATGGATAAACTTCAGACAAAGTCATTTTGCTTCCCTATGGCGCTTTTCTAGGAACTCTCTGCACTGGATGTAAAGATTTGACCTGAACAGAAACGGAGAGAAGAAGCAGAAAAAGCGGAAAAGAAAATTTTAAGATACTGAGGGAAAGTCCGACTCTCTGCTCTACTTCCTGAAACCGAATAATCAAACAAAAACAAAACCAGTGGAGGTTGTGACCCCCCACCTCGCATTCCCAGGGGGCCTGACTGGTTCAGTTTGAGTGTGAATGGGAGAACTGGGAGAGCGGGGCTGGTGAGAATGCGGCTGAATAGACGGCTGAAGCTGAGGCTGGTTGCGTTAATGAAGCGGCGCTGATGTTTGTCTGGACTGGAAGAAACGTTTTGCATTTCGTTAAAAGTTGATTAGTGACGAAATGTTTCACACGGTTTTTCTGAGTGGAACGTCAAGTTAGCAAAAAGACCAAAGTTAGTTGTTTTCTCAGTGTTTTTAGTGAAAGGCTTAAAGCTGTAAAATGATTCCTAAACATTAGAACTGAGTTTTCTCTCCACTAGGGGGCGCCAGAGTTCTTTATCAATAAACCACAAACAGAAACTGCAAACATTTAAGCAACTTCACAAACTCTGCCAGGATCAGAGCGGATCAGCTTTTAGTAAAGTGAGTAAAGCTAAGTTTATAGTTGATGGATTGAACTAGGCCATCTGCAGTCCAGCATTCTGGCCTCCTGGATTGGTCGCACACCTTCGGATTCTTGTAACTCTGCACACATTGCGTGTGCCGACTCGCTCTTCCAGAGGAGGTTCACCTGCTCCGGTAATTAGAGCTCATTTGGAGAACAGTACTCCAGGTCCAGCTGAACCTCCTCTGCAAGAGTAATTCCAAATCGTCCAGTTTGGGTGAAAGGTTGCGAGTCCGATCTTCGGGTCGGGCCGACTCTCCGGGCGATGAGCGTTGGCCCGGTTCAGTACATGAACTTTAAACCCAGCCTTGAGGAGACACTCTGGGCTTGCTAGCTCTCACACACCTCAGTTAGAAAGCAACTCTTCCTTCCTTTCTGTAGGTGCTGCTTGAAGCTTTCAGCATGTGGAGGTGAGTGAATCTTTGAGCGCAGACAGAGAGTCTGCATAGAGTTATATGAGGTTAAATTACTTTGTCATTATTAGACCTTTGCTGAGATGTGAGAGTCACACTTGCTTACATTTTGTAGTAGTTGGTGCACAAATTTTCAAATGGATTTAGGTCTGGACTTTGACTAGGCCATTCTAAGACATGAATCTGCTCTGATCTAAACCATCCCATATTATCCCCATAAGTAATATGTAACCTCCACTCCAGTTTCTGGGTTTTCTTCCTGGATTTAATTTCTTCCAACTCTGACCTGCTTCACTGCCTCCACGGCATGATGCTGCCACCACCATGCATCACCAGGAGGGTGCAGTTTTGGTTTTCATGCAGGCTACACAGTGCCGGTCTCTCCTGAGCTGAATATTGAACTTCAGATCATTTTCCAGTAAATCATAATAATAAACCAAATTTCAGACTGAAAAACATTTTACATTAACAAAACAACAGAAACAACAGATGAAATGAATGAAGTTTCTGTGAACAAACTGAATGCAAAGCTCCTGACTGAAAACTTTTATCATCCAGGTTTAGAGAAAAACAATAAATCATGCAAATGGAAATTGAGTTTGTTTTAATTTATCACGTGATTAAGAGATGAATGTTTTTGATGCTGAAATTCTCTGAAGTCTCCATGGATATGAGAGCGGGCCCCGGGCCCTGGGGGGTCTGGGGGGCCAGGGGGCACCCTCCAGCCCCCCCGGGCCCCTCGGCCCTTCAGCCCCCCATGTTGTAGTTAATTCATCTGGAATCTGGAAAATGTGTTTCATGCATAAATCATTCCTAATGACAGTGAAACGGGTCGCCGCCCCGACATCGTAACTCTAACTACATTCATTCCCTGCTGGGAAGGAATATATTAAATCATCTCATATATTAGATTATGTGGGTTTAGGACCCTTTTCCCAGAGCCTGACTGCGCCCCCTGCTGGTGGCGCTTGGCGCTGCAGCCTGTCTCCTGCCAACATGGCGCATCCTGCACAGCCACGGTCATTATTCCAGCCTGAGCAGATTAAGCTAATCGCGTTATGTTGCAGCAAAGCGCAGGACCATGACAAACCGAAGACAACAAACGCTGGCCTGTCTGCAGACCTGGAGACAGAGGAAAAGACAGCAGCCGGAAACTTTCCATGAGGAAAACTCAGCAGTAACCAGAGAGCTTCTGAAGATGAAGCTCAGCTTTAAGTCCAAACGGTTTGGTGATTTGATCTGATGATCCATGAATTACATTAAGAAGAAATGACAGGATCTGTGGGAAACCCCTGGCGTTAGTCCACTTGTAGTTATCGTTTAATCTCATAATGTTGCAACAGTCAGTGTTATTCTTCACTCCCTATAATCAGTTCATTCATTCGTGTGAACTGATGGAAGTTTGTTTTCTGCAAACCATCAGGTGACAAACGAGGAAAAAATCAGAATTAAAAAGAATTTTTACAGATTTGGTTCTTTTGAGTCAAACCAACCAAATCCTTTGAGCAGCCTGTTCCCCTCCCGGCCTGTGGGGGCGCTGCTCCAAGAACCACTGAAGGAAACGACAAAAGAAGACAATGAGGGAACTTCCTTTTTCACCAAATGGAAACAACAAAGGAATATTGTCTGTAAGATTTGTTTTTGTGTTTTGACAAATTTCTCCAGCTAGCGCTAGGCTAGCATGTTTTGGTTATATTTACCCATAATGCCCTGCGCTGCTTCCTTTTGGAGCGGCATCCCAAAACACAGTGTGTGTTGATTTTATATTTGACTGCCATCACCAGTAGATGGCCTCGGTTTCCTCGCTGAAGCTTCAGTTTCATCCACAAAGACTCTATAAAAATGTCTGCTCTTGTTTCTGTGTCGTCTCTCCGTCCTGCAGCCAGAAGAGTTGGAGGCGCTCCACTCTCACACGTTCCGGGTGAAAACCTTCAAGAAGACGAAGCGCTGCGGCGTCTGCAGACAGAACATCGCGCAGGACGGACTGGTCTGCAGAGGTGCGTCACATCCTGAATGCTAAACGCGACATCACTGGTGTCGAGACAGACATGATGCTTTGCACCAACATGGAAATAGCAGAAGCTAATTTAGGGGAAGCTAAGAGCACTAAACGTTTTCCGAGCCACTAGAAACACTAAGTGAATAATTAGTTCTCCTATTAGCCTGTTAGCGCATTAGCGGACCGGACCTGGTCTCCGCTGTTGATTTCCAAAACTTAAACTTTATTCAACGTAATGTTTACAAAACACCCAATTAAATTTACGCTTTCATAATTTATCCATAAAAGCAGAAGAGCTAACTAATTAGCTCTTCTGCTAATTGAAGTGTGCCCCATAACTGGGGCAGTGTTTGTCTCACATGTGACCGGGTTGGTCTGGAGGTCTTAATAATAAGAAATGTTTCATCTTTAATGGAGGTGAAAACTTTCCGCTTGCTGTCGTTGTGGACAGCAAGCCGCTCCGGCCGGACCGCCGGTCCAGCTGCTTCCTGCCTTTCTTCCCAGATCAGCAGAAATAAAACGGTGTTGACGTTCCGTCCGACTCTCAGCTGAAGGAGCCCAAGGTTTTCCTTCTGTTTGGATCTTCTCAGATCAACCTCCATCACATGTCCTGGAAAAACACGAGCACTTCCTGTTTGGCCGTGCAGCTGTAGGTCATGATGATGATGATGATGATGATGGTGGTCTGGCTCCCAGTTTAATGGGATTTCATTGTAATCCAGTAATGTCCATATGACGGAGCCAAACTGCCCAGATCCCCTGGAGTCAAGAAATCAAACTGGAGGAGCAAGTGAGCCCCCTGCTGGATGGGCTGAGATGCAACAGCTGTTCTAAATGTTTCCTCAAAGCAGATAAATGAAGATAATCAAACATTTTAGTTAGTAAATGAAAACCTTCAGCAGGTCATGTTCTCTTCCTGCCGTTCTGCTTTAGTTTTCTGATCCGTATTCATGATTCACCGTGTCTGGATAGAAAAATATTCAAAGAAAATATGACCAGATGGTTATATGAGTTTATGATGCCCATTTGGTTTCCATGGAGTCCGATGAATAAAGCTCATCTTGACCACCAGGTGGCAGCAGAGATGCATGAACTTGTTTCTGGCCTTCACTGTAAATTTCCCACCAACTCCATCCAGATTGTTTAGCCAGTGTGTCAGTTTTGTTGTAGTAACATGAGGTGTGTGTGTGTGTGTGTGTGTGTGTGTGTGTGTGTGTGTGTGTGTGTGTGGGAGAGCAGCTGTTTAAACAAACGCAGTGACACACAGTAAGGCAACAGAAACGATAAACAAACAGGAGTCGATGTTTCTGTCAGGAAGATCCGAACATGAGGCGAATCGTCAGCAGAGATTCTTCTCGTCCAGCAGCAGCCGTTTCCTGCTGGACTCCCACCCGGACCGAACCGGGCCGGCTGGGACGGGTGGTGCTGGGGGGCGTGGCCTGGGAGATGACAGCGCTGTATGAGTCAGATGAAAGCCGATAATTTCCAACATTAATACCAAGGAACACAGGAAGCAACTGGACCATCTGTCATCATCTACAGCAGCTACCCTGCACCTAAATGGCCTAGTCAAAGTCCAGAGCTCAGTTTGGGATCCTCAGATCAGAACTCTTGAGGATCAGAAGATTGGGCCAAAATTCCTCCTCATCGACTCGAAGGATTTTCTCACAGGATTGTTTTCCCATAAAAAGTAAAAAAAATGAGGCATCTGGTTTAAGACTTCTGCACAATGAAACAGTGTGTGTTTATCGTGTGTGTCTATAGTGTGTGTGTCTATAGTGTGTGTCTATAGTGTGTGTGTCTATAGTGTGTGTTCATGGTGTGTGTGTCTATAGTGTGTGTCTATAGTGTGTGTTCATGGTGTGTGTCTATAGTGTGTGTGTCTATAGTGTGTGTCTATAGTGTGTGTCTATAGTGTGTGTGTCTATAGTGTGTGTGTCTATAGTGTGTGTCTATAGTGTGTGTCTATAGTGTGTGTTCATGGTGTGTGTGTCTATAGTGTGTGTGTGTGTGTGAACAGAGCGGGGAAAGTGGGCGGGGAGGAAGAGGAAGAGCCCCGCCCTTTGATTGTGTCCGAAGTGGACCCGCCCGGACCCGAGGGGGAAAACGGTCCGAGGAGAACCAGGGAACGCCCCCCTCTTCCTCTCTGCTCTTCCTGCCTAAGAAGGGAAAGTCGGACCGGACCGGACCGGCCCACAGCGCCGCTCTGCTCTCACCCAGTAAGGAAGTTCTGGCCGTCCTCCATGCGGGCCTGGACCGAGGCTCACCAGGGAGTTCTGGCCCGGCGGACCGGTCCTGCTGCTTATCGGGCCGACAGACCAGAGGAGGCTGAAATCACAGAACCATCAGAACCAAAACAAACCTGGCTGACAGAAAACAGACACAGAGACGGGTCAGAACCGGGTCCAGAACAGAACCAGTACTGCGGTTTTCAGTGAATAAAATCACAGTAATAAAATAAATTTGTAAATTGATGAGCAAGTCGTTTTGATCAGAAATATTGATCAGGTTCTGATCATGTGATAATTTCTGCTGCGATAATAATCTGAATCAATAAAAATCTGCTAAAAAGCTGAAAATTTTCAATACTGAATGTTCACTGAATAAATCAAAATAAAAAGTTCTACATTTTAAAAACAAATTTTTATTTTGAGTTTTTATCTTTAAAGAAAAATATTATCTTTAAAAGAAAAGCAATTAAAGTTTATTTTGCAATGATGCAAAAATAAAACATCCAGAGACCAAATGGAGGATCAGAAAAATGTGGCAAGAAAAACAGAAAACAGGAAATATAATAATTTATTCTGTTAATCAATCAAAACGATTAAAATCAGTTATTTAATCTGAGCTTTGATCGAATCTTGATAATCAGCTCATGTTTCTGCTGTGACTGATATTTCTGTTGCCATGGTGCTGGGAACCCGGCGGGTCGCGGTGCCACCCGCACGCCGAAGCCTGTAATCAGGATGTTCTGACCTGACATACCAGGCGGTTCTGAAATAGAACCTGAACGTGTCGTGATGTAATTACACATCAGCTTCCCATCGTCTCCACAGCAGCTTGAAATTCTGTACTCGCACTGCCCCAACAGGAAGTACTCGCACTGCCCCAACAGGAAGTACTGCACTGGCCCAACAGGAAGTACTGCGCTGCCCCAACAGGAAGTACTCGCACTGCCCCAACAGAAAGTACTGCACTGCCCCAACAGGAAGTACTTCACTGCCCCAACAGGAAGTACTGCGCTGCTCCAACAGGAAGTACTGCACTGCTCCAACAGGAAGTACTGCACTGCCCCAACAGGAAGTACTTTCACTGCCCCAACAGGAAGTACTTTCACTGCCCCAACAGGAAGTACTGCTGCTGTTCCAACAGGAAGTACTCACACTGCCCCAACAGGAAGTACTTTCACTGCCCCAACAGGAAGTACTTTCACTGCCCCAACAGGAAGTACTTTCACTGCCCCAACAGGAAGTACTTTCACTGCCCCAACAGGAAGTACTGCGCTGTTCCAACAGGAAGTACTGCACTGCCCCAACAGGAAGTACTTTCACTGCCCCAACAGGAAGTACTGCGCTGTTCCAACAGGAAGTACTCGCACTGCCCCAACAGGAAGTACTCACACTGCCCCAACAAGAAGTACTCACACCTCCTCAACTTTTCATCAAACTTCACAGATTTCAATATTATTTTCTGCATTAAATCAATTAATACATTAGTTGAAATAACTGCAAATAATGCCAGAAGTAGAAGAGTCATAATGGCCTGGTCAAAGTTCAGACCATCATCCATTCACTCTGACTGAATTTGACTTCCAGCTTGTTGGTGCTCAGTCAATTTTAATAGAATTGTCACCAGATGAGGTTCTATACAGAATATAAATGCACACCGCACTTTTCAAATTTTCAATTTGTGATGATTTTAGTTTTGTTCCGTCATATAAAATCATAATAAAAACATTGAATTTTGTGGAAAAATTGCCATTATTTACTCTTTAAATTGACCATTTGAAGTTTTTTAAATGAACTTTATGTTATATTATTACAGTGGTGTCCAAAGTGTGGCCCGGGGCCGTTTGTGGCCCTTGGACTGAAATAGTGCGGCCCACAACCTCAATTCAAAAATGCTACACAGGTTAATAAGAGTAAAATTTGTAATAATTTCCAACATAATTTTATTGCAATAGAAAATATCAAATACGTTTTATAATGAAACAAAATCCGACCCAAATCAGCTTTTATTTAATTTATTAAAACATGGCTAAAAGTTAGAACCGCAACAAATCCTGTTTCTATAACAAAGCAAATTTCATAGTTGAGCTAAGAAAAAAAAAACCTAGATTTCTTTCTTTAATACAACAAAAACATTATAAAATTGGAAAACAAGCATTTCCCACAAAAATAAAAATAAAAACTTTTTTGGCCACCAAGTATTTTAGCCCAAGTTGCAGAAGCTTTGGACGCTCCTGTATTAATCCATCAGTAACTTGTGTTTTCATCCGGCTCATTTGATCAGCATCGGTTTTATAAACAGACGTATTTTGTTGCAGATAATTGAGTCTGACATCAGAACCAGAACCGGGCCGTGTTCTGGTCGGTATGGGATGTTTTCGTGCTGCTCCGCTGTGACGGCCGGCCGGAGGAACGCGTCTGGCCTCAGGAAGAATAACTCATTACATGAGGAGGAAAGCCTTCCAGTAAAAGCACACGGCGCTCCGCTTTGTTTGGAAAGCCGACACCTCGGCCGTGTTTGGGTTCCCGGTTCTTCCTGAGGTTCTGACGGTTTACGAGCTGCTGGTTCAGGTGCTCCAGTCGGCCCAGTCTCTGGTCCTGAGCCCAGTGGGAGTCCACAGAGGGGACATGGAGACGGAGGGCCAAGACGTCCAAATGGATGAAAAACAAAATATATTTACCCTGATTTGTTATTTTAGATTTGAATTTCTTGGTTTCTGACCTTTTAAGGTTCGTTGTTACGTAATCGGACTGATGCTGAAACAGAATCAGGAGGGAAATGAATCCAACACAGTTATGAAAGCTTGTTTTTGGTTTGGTTGTTTTCCAGTTGAATTCATTTCTGAACATCTTTAGAGCCATTTAGATTCATGAACTTTCACTGAAAAGCAGCTAACAGTGCAGATCCGCTGCAGCTGAGATCATTTAGCTCGAGGACATTTAGCACACTTGGCTTCCTCTAAGTACATTTTTCCAGATAGATGCTAACGTGCTATTTCACCATATTGTTTTGGAAACATTCGGTTTAATGAAGGACAGCATCTGTTTGGAAGTTTTAGTTCTTGACTGTTAAAAATTCATCAATGTTAGCCGCTACTGTTGATAGCTGAGCAGTTACCATTTCTGCCCTGTAGGGGGCAAAATAGCACGTCATCGATGGAATCAACAGATTAGCTCGGCTGTTAGCACGTTAGCTGGTTTTTCATCCTTCTGCTCGTGTTGAGATGTTGGGTCCAGCTGCACAGAACTGGGTCCAGTTGGGACGTTTTCATCTTAACGGTTCATTTTGTTTCTCTCTGTGTTTTCTCCAGTTTGCCGAACGGCGTGCCACAAGAAATGTGAAGCCAAGGTAAGACGCAGTTCGTTCTTCAACAGTTCACACCAAGTGTCTCGATGAAAAGTGGAGTTTAGGCCAGAGTCAGCTTCCTTTTAGGGCCTGTCGATGGAGGGAGGGGTCTCTGGAGAGTTTATGGTTCAGGAGGAGAAAAAGGAATGCTAAGAATGTCTAAACAAGCTCTGCATGTACCAGAATATGTTTACATTGGATGAGCTTCTGCGTGTTGGAGATCGCCTCAGGTCTAAAAATAAAGGTCTGGATGGAGCCGTTTGATCGTCTGAATCATCTTCCTGTTTGAGAACGATGGCGTCCATTTAGCTTTACGGCTAAATCCGACCCAAACGCGTCGCCCTCCAGCAGGGAGACGGCTTCTTGTTGCCAACGATGGCAACTTTCTGTTTTACTCACAGGAAATGCAGCAGGGGGGGCTGCAGGGGGCATCAATCACAGAAAATCACTCAACTGATCACACATGATTAATATGACCAAATGTAACATTTATGAAACCATTTTAAACTAAAGTGTAAAAAACAGAAAGAGATTCAACAGTAACACAAGAATCAGTCGGGAACACAGATGAACGTATTGTTATGAACATTGTGAAGATGTTGACAAAATTCAACATAACTTTCTCATTTTCACATAAAAGTTTTACTCGGTCGAAGTGGTTTTTGTTTTTTTCTATTAGGAGGTAAAGATGGAAACACATTTACCGAATAAGTTCTGCCACAGCGAGCGCGGGCCTGGGCCTTACCAGAGGCATGAAGCGCCACACACCTCCAGCTTCTCTAGAGTTTTTTATGACGTTTATATCAGAGCGAAAACAATGGCTTAAAAATCACACCTCCAATTTTAATGATGAGCTTGATGACCGAACCAGGAAGCAGCTGGAACCAACCAACCGCCACACAAACCCAAAATGACCAAATAAGGTCATTTCCTTTAGAAAGATGGCTGGCTGCCATTTAACCGAAACCGACTCCATTAAACCATCGGTTCTGATTCTGTCCGACCCGCTCCGGTCTTTATGCAGATGAAGATCAGTGTGCTGAACTAACGCGGCTCACAGTCGCTGATGGCGTTCAGGAAGCCGCAGGTCAAACCCGCGGGAGGACCAACAAATCAGCCACGTTCCATCTCCAAACCCGCAGCATTATTTCCTTTTCTAAACATTTTGGCTCATATTTGTCATCGCTTTAGGCAGGAAGTAATTTGCTAACAAGCTTGAGATGAAAAACAAGGGAGTGACTGCGACAGGGTCAGGCGTGATCGCTATCGGCTCTCAGTCCAGACTGAAGCAGAGGATTGTTTTTAAAAGCAGAACCAAACTGGTTCCATAAATCACCTTCTGGATGATATTAGCTTCATATTTAACCTCCAAACAAATGGTCATCAGACCTGTTTGTTCACAGCTGGATGTAAAATATGTGTTCAGTCTTGTTTGCAAAACTTCTCATCAAGGTGACGACGGAAAGGAGCCAAAAACAGCAGCGAAGGGAAACAGAGCGCGATTGGAAACGGCAGGAATTTCCTCTAAAAGCTTGAATCCTTCGGCTTCTCCTCCATTTTGTTTGGAAAACGTTTTCCAACGGCTGAAGCTTCATTCTGTCAGAGGAGCCTTTCCATTTTCAGTAAAAAAAAATACCAGATGAACATATTAATTTCCAGAATTAATGCTCCTTTTAAGAAATGAGAACAAAACAAGCTAATTACATCCTGCTAACTGATATTAGCACAAGGTTTTAAGGCCTGATGGTTGATATGAGTCATAAACAATCAAGATGCAAAGAAAACGTTTTGCAGGTTTTGCTTGTTGTAGAGTTTAATGTGCAGCTTTTTGAGAATAGTGTTTGATACTTAGTTTTTTTTACCCAGACACATTCCTGCAAATTTGCTAATAGCAAGCTAATTCTTAATGTGCATTTTTGCTAAAGTTGAAAATATTTAGCATAAGTTCTTCACTTGGCTGTTCTGTAGCCTTTCACAGTTTGACGTCTGTGTTGAAGCTTAAGAAATCTTCATGTAGTTAGACGTTTATCTTTATGCTTTTTATTTTGAAGGCTGTTCCATTTAAATTCTAGTGAACGTTTGACACTGGAACTGCAAGACGTTTACATATCCAATATAAATAAACAAAACAACTGTATTGTCTCTGGGGACAAAATGTTCCTTTAGAAAAGGACTGGATAAGACCAAAACAACATAAATTAGCCATCCTGTTTTTGGTAGAAAGGAATAATGATAAATCAAGCAAATGGAAACTATTGATTTCAATTTGATTTATCATGTGATAAATTTGTTTATGTAAAACATTTTCTGCTGATCTTCAAGGCTAAAGATCTGATCTCCAGACATGAGGCTCAGATGTTGCAGAGTGAAAAGAAAACACAGGTTTTGATGTTCAGCACGACGTCATCAGCATACAGCTGGATGTGAGAACCGCTAGCAGCTTAGACTCCATCACTAATGTAGACAGAAGTGGTTTGGCTAAACATGGAGCCCTGAGGCATTCCTCTGGATGTTTTACATGGTTCTGACTAGATGTTCTTCAGCTGTTGGACTCGGTTGGTGAGGTAATAGATGAAGTTAAACTGTTCACCCAGAACTTTACAAAGTCAGACGGCCTGAAACCATGAAGAAGCTCTGTGGTTTGTTTCAGATAACTTAATATCCTGATATCTTTGTTTGTCAAATTATTGACAGCAAATTCACCAAATCATCCTGAGATGGAAACTAAGACTTTGTTTTTCTGGAGCAGTAATGAAATCGATCTGCTGGTTATGAGGAAAAGCAAAGTGCAGGGACACGCCCACCTGCTTCCTCATGCTTTTCATTCCTTGCTTCAGGATGATGAAGCATTTGTTTTCAATTTTCCACCTCTTCAAATTCTGCAGATGAATGTTTTGATGAAGTGGAGTCTGGGTGACTTTGTTATTTCAGATTTGTTGTTTGTGACCCTTCAGTTCTTCCAGCGAGTTCAGGGTCCTGCTAAAGGCCTCTGGTGCGCTGATGAATGTGTTCCCCTTCGTTCCCACTTGTGTGCCAAAGGAAACGCTCATGTCTCCTTCTGAGGAGCTAATTATGCAAACATTTCCAGTCATAGTTGAGTTTTTTCTTTATGCTGAGCAGGTGCAAGGCTCTCTACTGGAACTGTTAGAGGACAAATCAATTTATGCAGCGATAAATAACAATCACAGTGATTGGTTGAGTCACTGTCCTGTCCTACAGAAAGTTTTATGGCTATTTTGGTAATGGGTGCAAATCACTAGCTGATATTTCTGAGGTATTTGAGTGGAAAAACATTCGGTGGTGCAGCCAGCAATCATTTCAAGGAGGTGTTTTGTTTAATGGCTCCTGAATGAATATTAATGCGATTATATCAGGACTCCTAATGTTACCAAGTCAGGGTCCTTAAAACACTTTGAAAAATCAATTTCTGCCATGTACTGGTGTAAAACTTGAGGTGTTGAAGACAGGCAAGTCAGAAGTTATCCAACATTTTTCTCATATTTGAACAATCATCTGAAGATAAATTTTCTGCTTCAGCCAGGAAAACAACGCTCCACCTTTCCTCTGTTATTTATTACCTCCAAAGCCTTCAAACACCTGCAGGCGCACGTGAGGAAGAATATATACAATCACATACATATCGATGAACTAAGCACCCACATATTAATATTTAATCAGTGGTAATATAAACACATTTACTTCACAAGTGTATTTAATTAAAAGCTCTAGAACAACATACATCATTACATTCTTCTTTTAAACTTTTATTATGATACAGTTTTAAGGCAGCCTGCCTTAAAGGAGGTTATCTGTCAAATGTCAAGCTAGCATGCTACGTAGGTAGGTTTAAAAAAAGGTTTAAAGCAGAAACAGAAAAATGTCTCCAGATTTTCTGTTGGAGGATCTGAACATGTTGATTCCTTTTAAATCAAAATGTCTCTGGATTTCTGCTTTACAATAATACTGCATCAGTTGGCGCCAGATTAACCAATGACTAGTGACTGATGATATCACGTTCAACAGAGTCCAGAGATTTCAAAATTAATTTATCTAATAAAATAATCGCAATAATTCTGCATGTTATTATGTTTTTGAAAAATAATTTTCCTCTGAAACTTTTCTAGGAACCCAACAAATATTGATAAAAGAAGCCCAAATTTTACCAACCCTCAAGAAGTTGTATTTTCCATCTGAATGTTTTGGAAAGCAGAAATGGTCCCTCATATCGGTGCAGGTGAACCTGCTCTGCCAAAGCGCCTTCCAGGTCGGCCATTTTGATAGTAAGGTGCCCTGGCAGAAGTGAGGGTCCTATCAGTGGGACGATCAGTTCATACGGAGCCACAGTAGCTGCAGAAAGAGGCAGAGATTGATTAAAGACAGGCGCAGCCAGCAGCTATCATGCTAACTCAATTAGCAGTCAGCGGACAGAACACATGCTCAGCAGCCTGCTCTCCAAAACATCAAGAGGCTCAGCAAGAGGCTGATTTCCCAGCAGAGAACATCTTAAACATCCACTAAGAGGGCTTGAAAAATGTCACACTGAATGTTTCTGGTATTTAAAGGAGCGAGTTTAGTGTTAAATGAGCCGTTTGAGCCCAGGTATGCTAATAACAGGGCAGCTAGCTGCTCTGATATAGCAAGAGCAACAATCTGTCTTGTTCTCAGCTGCAGCAGCAAACAGCTTTCACAACCAGCGCTGGCTGCCAGCCAGGAGTTTGGTAAGAGTACAGTAGTGAAATGTGCTTAGATACAGCAGAGAAAACAAACAGGAACGCCCAGAGCTGCACAGCATGGAGTAATCAGGAGTTTAGGGAAACAATGTCAACAAAAGGCCGAGTGAACGGTGGAGACAGTGATGGAGGAGCCGGGATTTAAAACGCCACTCCCCAGATCCGCCAGCAGCATCAGAACGTTCTGCGTTTCTGCTCACACGCTGTTCACGTCCAGCTTCCCCTTCTGGCTGCAAACGACCCCATTGCTACGGTTTGGCCCTTTCGCCTTCA